TTCCCCTGTACTCTGCGTTGGTGAGGCCACACCTTGAGTATTGTGTTCAGCTCTGGGCCCCTCAGTTCAGGAAGGACATTGAGGGGCTGGAGCGGGTCCAGAGAAGAGCAACGAGGCTGGTGAAGGGACTTGAGCACAAGTCCTATGAGGAGAGGCTGAGGGAGCTGGGGTTGTTTAGTCTGGAGAAGACAAGGCTTAGAGGTGAACTCATCACTCTCTTCAACTACCTGAAGGGAGGTTATAGCCAGGTGGGGGTTGGGCTCTTCTCCCAGGCAACCAACAATAGGACAAGGGGACATGGGCTCAAGCTCTGCCAGGAGAGGTTTAGGTTAGATGTTAGGAAGAAATTCTTTACAGAGAGGATAATCAGGCATTGGAACGGCCTACCCAGAGAGGTGGTGGATTCACCATCCCTGGAGGTTTTTAAAAAGAGATTGGATGTGGCCCTTAGTGCCATGATATAATAATTGGAGTTGGATCAGGGGTTGGACTCGATGATCTTGGAGGTCTTTTCCAACCCAATCTATTCTATGATTCTATGATTCTATGACAAGCAGGGAGGCCTAGAGCTCATAAATTTGCTACTCATTAGTACATGTACCGCAGTCAATGAGATCTAGAGATCTGCAGCACTCATCTGAAACTAATAAAACCAGATTAAATAAAATTCCTGCATTTGTTTAGGTAAAGTTATTAAAACCTTGAGATCTATGAGTGTGGAGAAATGACTACACAACTTCTAAAATGTCAACTTGCAGCACTCATTGGTCTGTGGCAGGTCTGGAAAGGGTTTGATCCAGTTACTATAGTGCTTTGTGATTATATTAACCCAAAGCAAAATGACACAGTGGAGGTAGATTCACAGCTACTTCTTAGATATTTGAACTCTCATACAGTGCTTCTCTCCATCTTTTCCTCTGTACCTTGAGTAATGTCCACCTCTTTTTACAACCTCTTCTCTGATGTTATTGGGTCTTGTTAAACTTTGGGTTACTACAGATCCAGTATTTTTTCCTGCAGTACAAAGTCTGTCCTTACACTCTGTCCTTCCTGGGAGTGTAATTTTGAAGTTACTAGTTGACTTTCAACCTGGTTTTCAGAATTTTTCAACAAAATTTTGAATTATCACCCTGTCCTTGACCATGACCTCCACTTGCTGTTATCCTCAGACGAGAGAAACTTTTTATATTCTACTAAGTCATTACTAAAAACTGCTCTACAGTATTAGACCAAAAAAGACCCTCAGTGTGTGGGGGTCTTAAAGTAGAAACCCCCATTTCTACTTTAATAATGAATCTGTGATACCTCAAAA